AACTTACTTCAAGTGGACGGAGGAGCATAGCAATGCTGAAGAAGATGAGAAAGATAATGTACAGGGCAAGAAGCTGATAAAACCTGATGAGATGAGTAATGAAAATTATTCACATTAATATTAGTCGCAAGTTGATAACCAGCTGGGGAGATAACGTTGCCCTTATCATGACTAACTCAGAGTCCCAAAGGGCAGCACAGAGTGACGTCAGCCCCGAAAGCCCTGGTCAAATGGCACATGATAGTCGATGTCCACGATAGTGAAGCTCGCGCTCCCGTTTGACCACCAACTATCATGCACTAGCATCGACTATCATTCACTTTGAACATGTTCAAATTCTCCATGATAGTCGATGATAGTTTTTCCCATTTGACCACGCGGCGCATGACAGTTGATGATAGTTGATTATAGTTTATAGGTGATGTTAAACTGTCATCGACTATCATGCGCCGTTTCGACCGGGGCTTAACATTCCATCCCAACCTAAAGTGGTGGTGAGAGTACAAACCCTGAATGTGTGTGAATGTTCCAGCAAATAATCATACCCCCATCACGGAGGGAATTGTTCCAGAGAGGTGGGGGGTTAAAGGCCCAGGAAACCCAAAATATTTAAAGAAAATAATACTTTATTCTTTCACGAAAAGCAATTTAAAACAAACCTAGCAAAAACGTCAGCGAACACACGCATGAAAGGTTTCGCCTGCTGTTTGTTTATTTTCCACAAGATTGTAATCAGTGTGTAAAATATATAGAGGATATTACACGGCGGCGCGAAGATATGAATTTTATTTTCGAGTGGTAAAAACAATATTTTACGAACGAGCGCAGCGAGTGAGTAAAATATTGTTTTTAACACGAGAAAATAAAATTCATATCTTCAAGCCACCGTGTAATTTTCTTTTTATTATATAGACAAAAGACAAAAGCACAAACTTTAGCGCGAACTCTTGCAGCTCGGTGGCTGGACTTTCCGAATTTCTCTCCTTTCGTCTTCACTTGCAAGGAACTCCTTGAATAATTTTAAGTCATATGAAGTTTTCTTCTTCGTGTTAACATTTTCCTACTCCTCAGTGAACGATTTCATGTCGGCTTCAGTGAATTTCACGAATCTATCGCTTGCCATTTTTCAACCGGAGTTTGGCAGCTTTGCACAAAAAGCCATGCAAATGCGGGAAATGACGTCATCGATATCCTCACTAGTGAGAATATGGAAAATACGCCACTCGGGTCCCGGATGTAGTTTAGTATGAATTTTACGAGTGGTCTATTTTCCAGTAAAACACTCGTGTCTATATAATAAATCATTTTATAAGACGTTTGAATGTTGCAACAAGGAAAAATGAACATTAAAAATACATTTTTGGGCTAAAGCTATAGTTCAGTGTCCGTTCACGCTTTTAGCAGCCACTCAGAAATCGACATGGTCGATTTTTTTTTGCAATCTAGTTCATTTGAGATTATAAATTTGGTGCCTAATATAAACAATACAGTTGAACCTCTCTAATACGGACACCGAAGGGATGGAGCAAAGTGTCCGTATTATAGAGGTCATGAATATGACGTCACTTGAAATGCTCCACTGACGATAAGAAATCTCGATGATAAATGGGACCAAATGGCAAATTATAGCATGTCGATAAACTGATTGAAAACAAATGCTACTTTTATTGTATGGGCAATGGGACACTTGATTAACTTTGATCTGTAACCACAAACAGGAAATTGTATTGAATAGGAACTGTTATCACTGGAGTGTCAGTAATAAGGAGGTTAAATTTGTATGAATTTGCTCTCTGGGGCCGATATTTAGTTTCCGTTGTCCGTATATATTAGAGAGGATCCGTATTATAGAGGTTTTCTTTATAGAGAATATATGGGCATTTTGCAGGGACCAAGGGAACTGTCTGTAATAGAGAGGTCAGAGAGGTGTCCGAATTAGAGAGGTGTCCTTAAGGAGAGGTTTGACTGTACATACAGCTGTTTCGAGAAAGGTTGTCGGAAAAAAGCGCACGCGACAATCCCGAAAGGTATTGTGGGTAGTTTTAAGTTCACGGTTCCTTGACTTCAGCGTTTCAGGAAAATCTGAGAAAATGGCAAGAGATGCCATGGACGTATGTTTGCGAGTGCTAAAAGAAAGAAACAAAAGTACGCATCGCGGGTTTGATGTATTTATTTGACTAATGAAAATTCATTGATCATATCCCAGATTACCTTTCGGGATTGTCGCGTGCGCTTTTTTCCGACAACCTTTCTCGAAACAGCTGTATATAGCTGGGCAAGTTGTGTTGTCTTCACGGAATATATGATTTTATTTATGCAAGATACCGATGAGGTTAGGATTCCTAACATCTTCAAAAACTAGCTGAAATTTGCTCAAAATATTAAAACCAGAAATGACAAGTTCTTATCTCTTGGTCTTATCTATTTCCGGTGTTCCTTCAGCTTGAAAGACCCGAGGATTTCAACTAGAGTTGAGTTATTTGTGGAACGTTAACACCGATCTTTAAAACTACACTGCAAACAAATACTTATTACATATGAATATTTTCAACAACTGTGTGTTCTACGCTTCTCTTTTCCCCAAAAGTAAAGTTAGCGTACCGTAACGTATGATGCAATAAAAGAAAACGCAAGCGCCGGTCACGCATGCTTATTATTGTTTTGATGTCGCTCAGTTCGAAATGGTTTTTATCTGATTCAAAGTAATGGTTTTTTTTATCAGTTCTGTTTCATGATTTATTATCAAAACACTCGGTTCTGAATGTTCACGGCTCGATTCAGAAATTATTTGTTTACCACTTGTCAACAAAGGTACAGAACCGTGTGAAGTAATAATTTCACGTCGGGAAACAGTCATTTATACCGCCAGACTTCGCACCGCCAGCTCACTCTCAGTTCTTCAGAAAAATATTACGAAGAAATTATTCATCTTATTAGTTCATAGCGCTATAAAAGAGTTTTCATTCACTGGGCACAAATAGACTTGCAAATGTTCAATGCGTGACAGACATAATGTTACTGCGTGACACAATAAAATTGGAAACTTTCGCTCGCATGACTCATGTTTAAAAAAATTAAACTTTGCTTTGTTTTCCAACTCCGTGTCTTTAGACGTGTTATCTTCGAAGTTTTCCGTGTCAAGGCAAGAAAGATTTGCGATACCCGGATGATCGAAAATGACGTGAAATTTGACTACGGTAGTTTCAGAATTTGCATATTTTAAAATTACGCAGTGAAGACCGTACAATACAAGCGCCTTTCCCTCGAAAACCGTTTTCAATGCATAGTCTATTTCACTCATAGAACCCGAAAGATTAAAAGAAAAGAATACTTTCTTCTTTCACGAAAAGCAATTTACCTTTAAATAAAACTTAAACAAGCAACAAAAAGTCTGCGAACACGCACGTTAAAGTTTGTTTACATTCCACAAGATTGTAATCACTAATCAGTGCGTAAAATACAGTGGAACTTCGATTTCTCGAACCCTCTTGTTTGTCAAACCTCCCGATAACTCGAACCAAAAGCCGTTTCCCTTGCATTTGCTTCACTCAAACCCTATAATTTTACTCCCGATTTCTCGAAACTCCCGTAAACTCGAACCAATTCATGGCTTGATTAATAAATATCGATTGATTATCGATTAGTTTACACCATAGATACCATATAGACATATTGCCATATTGCCATAGTGAATGTAATCTCCCTAAACCATTCAAATACCCCAGAGTTACACTTCGTTCCACTCTGTGCTAAAAAGGGCAGTGGGTAGACCTAAAATGACCTGGAGAAGGACAGTGGAAGTAGAGATGGCAGGCAGGATGGAACGACTGGGGCACTGAGAGAGCAGTAGCCAGGGACAGGATGGCGTGGAAGTAGAATGTTGCGGCCTTATACACCTACTGGCGCGAAGAGCAATGATGATGATTTATCATGACTGATGGACTATCAAACAAGTAAATCAAATAAAGGAATGGATCATGACTGACTGAATGCATGACAAGCTGATAGACTATACACATGACTGACTAAAAGTCTTTTTACAAGCCTACTTGATGTACAGTGTATGTGGCTTATCAGATTGGCACTTAACTCTGGTTTCCATAACATGAAGCGATTAGGAGTATTGCTCTGCCTGGATGGGATGCTAGTCCATCACAGGTAATCCCCAGAATTTTTGTCAGGTTGCCTTGACAATTTGCCTTAAAGTTTACCCATTTATACTCCTGGGTGGAGAGAGGCACTGTGAGAGCAAAGTGTTTTGCTCAAGAACACAACACAGTGACCCCAGCCAGCACTGGAACCCAAACCGCTCGATCCACAGTCAAACACACTAGCCTTTAGCCCGCTTACTAAGGGCCTGTTTAGATGGAGAAAAGTTGTCACTGGTAGGAGGCCTAGGGTCACCCTCCATACCGAGTAACCCGGGCGAGAGAACTTTTCATACATTTCTTTATAAATAGCAGCAAACCGTTTACATGAGAAATCGCAAAGTTGGCTCGGGGGGCAGGGTAACCCTGGGTGGAGGGTTACTCGCTTTGAAGGTAGGGTGACCCTGGGGGGCGGGCCAACTTTTTTCCATATAAACACTTTGGCTATTGTTGTTTCACCTACCAGGGACAAGTCGGGACATGTAGAGCATGTGTGAACCTGAGAGGGCCAAGTTTTGGCTCGGTCAATAGGGACAACTTTTTTCATATAAACGCTCGGTAAAAGATGGCTCGGTGGGGAGGGTAACCCTCCTACCAGGGACAACTTCTCTCCATGTAAATAGGCCCTAACTAACATGCTGTTGTCATAATAATCAAGAGTACATGTAAATCAGTTCTTGATTTCCTCACTGAATGGCCGGCTACACATCACTAACAAACAGGCTGACTGATCACTCACAAACTGGCTAGCTGCTTGATACATGCACATTGTCTAATAATAAAATATTTATACAAGTCAGAGCTTCTTCTTTCCCACCATGTACAGTATGCCTTGGAAATAAGTGTGGGAGACGCGGTGGCCTAATGGTTGGCACGCTGGACTCCGGACCGAGCGGTCCAGGTTCGAGCCCTGACCGAGCGGTCCAGGTTCGAGCCCTGACCGAGCGGTCCAGGTTCGAGCCCTGACCGAGCGGTCCAGGTTCGAGCCCTGACCGGGGTGACTGTGTTGCATGGGCAAGATACTTGACTCTCACAGTGCTTCTCTCTACCCAGGAGTATAAATGGGTACTGGTGACAAAATGCTGGGGGTAACCTGCGATGGACTAGCATCCCATCCAGGGGAGTAGCAATACTCCTACATGTAGTCACTTAATGCTACAGACACCGGGATAAGCTCCGGCAGTTGTAGGCCACTAGGCTCGTGAAGACTTAATTTACCCTTTTTTTTTTTTTTTAAATAAGTGAATCACCTACATGTAAAGCATTTAAACTCAGAGTAAACTAGTTTGCGATGGTTCGCTTATCTCTGAACGGTACTGTTAATCCAGACACACCTGTAGCGACAGGCATGTTTCCATTTCTCTCTGAGTAAATTATTCAGAATTCCATCAAAAGGGCCAAGTGTGGTACTGACTCCTACTCAATAAAATAAGAAGAATGATTTAGACTACATTAACTAGTAATACTGCATGTAAGTAATGAAAAGAAAAGCCCAGAAAAATGAAAGCCTATATCAAACATAAAGCGTTGGCTGTGTCCAAGGAAACAGACTACTAAGTCCCAACGTTGAATTGCCAGTGAAAATTGCCAGTTTTGGGGCTTAATTTGAATTCTGTCTCGCGATTACTATAAAAACTGACACTCTTTAGCTCACCTCATGTGTGATTATGTTTAACGCACAATTTTCATTTATGTGCCCTTCACTTGTAAGCTGAAAAAATGACAGTACAAAAATTATCAGCCACTGTTACGTTGATCATTGGGGTTTCATTCAAGATTATTTACCCTAAGCAGTCCTCTCAAAATGATTTGTAGTTACTGCAGTAGGCAGCATAACAGGAGGAGTAGGGAGCAATATGCAAGCAGAGCTGGGTCCCCTTGCTAGGGGCCAGGTCAATCCAATGTGAATTAAGCAAGGGGCAAACAATTGATTGAATTAAGTGACAAAATTGATGGCTGCAAGCCGGCAGCCAGCACATTTTGCTCAAGAGGGCTGCCTAAGATGCCCAGGCCCTTTAATCTAATATTATTAGTGGGAAAAATCTTCTTACTGTATCAAGATCTTTAAGTGAGAATGCAGCACACATCACTTCACCATACCGCCAAAATACTTCTCTATCGCGTGTGAGAATGTGATCAAACATCTGCAATGAAGATACACAATTATTATTGAATGATGCTTTAATATAAAAATTAATTTATAAATAGATATCAATACCGTATGTACACTGTAGTTAATCAGTTCATGTCTGACAAGTGTCAGGAGAGCCAGTTAACTCATCAGTGTCAGTGTTTACAAGTCATGTACATGTACAGTACATCAATCTGCAACTCCAGTTTCTGTACTAGCACGAAGTGAAGTTGAGAGTATTGTTACTCCCCCTGGATGGAATGCTAGTCCATTGCAGGTGACCCAGCATCTTTCTCAGGTTGCCACTGACAACAATTTGCCAGTACCTGTATCCTTTGTTCTCGAAGACCCACCACCAACACCAATACCCTTTGTGGCAGAATTAATGTTCAGTGATCTAAAAAAAGTCATTTAAAGCTGGCATTTGTTGACTCTTCTCTGAATTAGTTGGAAGAAAATGTTTACCTCTCTCCGAGCCAGTTTTGCAGCAAGTGTCAGAGGACTGAAACCTAGGTTGTTCAAGACATCTGTGAGCGGTTTTTCGCACTGACATGCACAGTGACAGCCATAATCCAAAATAAGGTCATACATGTCCTGCAAATAATCACACAATAAAACAATGGTTACATAATGTTGCTGATTAAGTTACTAGTAAATAATTAATCAAAGCTTATTAAAATTCAATTATTCTGTGCAGCATGAAAATTATTGTTCTACAGGCCCAAATACATGTACATAAATCTATTCAATCAGTTATTGGCTCACAATTCAATAACAAATGATGAATGATAAGCACACTACATGAACAGCATGTTAACATAATTATAACAAATCTTGATTATATGTACTCCGGTGAAGATGTACAAGCTGTATGGGCTGTTGACACCAAAAATTTAGTAGTTCCGATTAATTTTTTTATTTTTTTATTTTATATTTTTTTAAATATTACATGTACTAAGCTTGGAGTATTTGTATCCTACAATCAGAGCCAATATTATCACTGACAGTAATTCCCTATAAAACATTCACCTCAGAAAACGCATACTTAAAATTAACATAAAATACTATAAATACACTGTAATCTCTTAGTTACCATCTTATCATGTATAACCATCATGTGTAAGACAGTGTTGCCATTTGTATCCTGTTTATTGGGACACGCCCCTCTAGCTAACAAATATCGCACCATATCCTCTAAGCCAAGGCCTGCTGCAAATGAAAGTGGATATTCTCCCCAGTACGTGTTGCTGCAAAAAATTAAAGTCAGTGGTAATTTTGTCCCAGAACTATAAATTAAGGTAACTAAATGTAAAAGGTAAAGCCGCATTTGGGCCATACTGGTCCATGCTGCTGGAACTTATCCCGGTTTCCGTAGCATGAAGCCTACTAGGACTATTTCTACTCCCCTGGGTGGGATGCTAGTCCAGCACAGGTTACCCCCTGCATAATTATCATCAGGTTCCCCTAACAGTTCGCCGGTACCCATTTATATTCCTGGGTGGAGAGAAGGATTGTGAGAGTTACAGATGGAAGTGTCTTACCCAGGAATGCAACACAATGACCCTGTCCAGTACTCGAACCCGACTGCTTAATCTTGAGTTCAATGCGCTAACCATTAAGTGTATATTACATGTACAATGTATGTAGGCCTCATTAGCAAAGAATCTCATGATGTACCATCACTATTGTAATTGCCTGGACAACAAATGTACATGTACATACTTACAAATTAACTATTAGTTCCTAGGGGGGAGGGGGGAGTACTCCCTATAATGGACGCCCCGCCTGAAAGGGGTAGCTTTTTCAGGCTGGAGGTATATAAAAGGTAGGGATTTCACAAGTTGAAGTATAGAAAAGGGTAGGGAAAACTATCATTTAGGTGTTTAAAAAGCCTTTCAAAATATCTCGAACAGATGCACCTAACGGCTGATCGCATGATTCATCCAATATTTTAAAGGGCTACTCAAGCGAAAAGCTTAGTAAAAGTCGTAAAAGGGATGCAGTGTTTCAACTGTTGGTACATGAAAGGGGTACCATTTTCTATGAAAGGTATACCTCAGGGAGGAGCCTCCCCGTATAAACCTTTGTTGAGTACTACCCCCCCCCCCCCCCCCCCAGCTATAGTCACACTCCCCATTACAAATTTTGTAAACGTACCTTTCATAATTGGTCTCATCACTAAGAACAATACCCTCCTGACCAGCATGATCTCTTCTTGATTGTCGCTGATCCTCTGGGCAAAAGAAAGCCCCATAGGCACGCTCATGAATGTCGGCACCATGCTTACAAAGAAAATGAACCATGGCTTGATTTTCATTCACTATTGCCATGTGCAGGGCACTCTCTCCTGCAAGCAATATCGTACAATGTTTACTTTAGTTAGTAATTACCAGTAAATAACAACATTACTATTCCACAATAATATAATGTGTATTGGATACAAGATGATACAAAACCAAGATAATAAATATTGACCTTTGATTCTTAAAATTATTTAAATACATGTGAAAACTGGATGTTAAACTTTAGTTCTGTTGTATAAAAAAGTCTGGTTGCCATTGGGTGGCTTAAGGTCAGATTTCTTAGTACACTGCGCATCGTCATGCACATAATTTGGTGCACATTAAAAACATGACTGGCTTTTTCTTTGTGGCTACATGTGTGTACATGTATGCTCACTAAGGAGGTAAATAATCATTTTCTCATAAATGAGCATGGTGACCTAAGTATCTTTTTTCACATGTACAGTGTAAGGAATTATGAGGTATTTTCAATTAATCAAGAGATCAAGATCAAGAATACACTGTACATGTACAGTGTACCTCTTTCGTGGGAATGGTGAGACCTACATGTATTCTTTTTATTTTACTTGAAACTAGATTACATCCCAATGATCAATCAGGGACAGTTTCAGAAAATTTTCACGTCAGCATTTTATTTCTATGGAAGGTACATGTACAGTGTAACATTAACCAAATGATTGCACAGAAAGGTGCTATTTGAAAAAAGTTTGTTAAGATCCTAATTAAGGAAATAAAATTGGCATGTTTCTTCAGTAAGTTGAATACAAAATCTGAATTAGCAATAATATATTTCTCAATGAAAAGACAAGCACAAAATGTTCTATCCATTATTTTCTCAAACATTACAAAATGTATATCATAAAATATTATCACGCTACTCGTCTTACCATAAAACTCATCACTGATATAAATATCATCGACCAGAGGTGGGTACTTCATTATGATCATCTTGGCAATATCATAGTGCACACGAGTGGCATTGAGGAAGCACAGGTGAAGGATGGTTTCTCCCACAGCGGCACGCTGGCTGATATCCCAGTAAACACGTCGTGTGTTGCTGCCTGTAGTGTAAATAAACATTTTGTACACGTTATGGGTTAAGTTGTTTTTGGTTTAAAAACTTTCAAACCAGTTTTATTTTTATTTTCCTTAGTTTCACTGATTATGATTGAATGAATGCAAGACAAAGGCAAATAATAAAGCAGACAGAACATTTAACATACTTATAAGCATTTTCCTAAGTCTTAAAAAATCAATTTGAGGGAATATTTTCGACAGCTTGTGCCTTGAGAATCGATAGAAGAACTCCAAATGTGACTCACTTTTAAGATTCTAAATGCCTCCTTTTTCCACAGTCGAGTATTCTTTAACTATTTCTTTCAATTTCGAACTCCAAAAAGGTGTCTATTGTAAGAGGAGTGAAATAAACTGTCTTGAACACTGTAGAAGAGATCTATGCGAGACGCCATTTTGTTTACTGAACCGTTC